CAGCTGTGTCTAGACTGGCCAGTTTTTCCGGAAAATCAGCCGCTTTTCCGGAAAAACTTGCCAACTGTCTACACTGGCCGCTAGAATTTCCGCAAAAGCACTGACTTCCTACTGTAAGAAATCAGTGCTTCTTGCGGAAATACTACGCTGCTCCCATTCGGGCAAAAGTCCCTTTGCGCAAAACTTTTGCACAAAAGGGCCAGTGTAAACAGCTGAGATTTGTTTTGCACAAAAAAAGCCCCGATCACGAAAATGGCGACCGGGGCTTTTTTGCGCAAAGCACGTCTAGATTGGCCATGGACGCTTTTCCGCAAAAAGTGCTTTTGCAGTCTAGACGCTCTTTACTGAAAATGCTTTTAACGGAAAACTTTACCGTTAAAAGCATTTCTGGAAAATCATGCCAGTCTAAACGTAGCCTCAGTGTGCAGCTCCCCATTTTTGGCCTCTGGTTTCCCTTTGTCTCCTCCAATACAAGGGTCAGGACAGGTCTCCTCACTCACTCTGTCCCAAAGCTACTGAACAGTGGTGCTTTCTAGGAAAAGCACAAACATGATTCAGAGCCGTGCAAGGCTAAAGGATTAGTACTGGAGCTGGTCTATTTGAGATCTGGATTTGGGAAGAAGGAGTTCCGTGAGTCACATGGGGAGGAAGGCACACAGCAGCATATCTTTCTTTCAGACAGGGCTGTCATGAATATACCTCCTGGATCCTGAATTATTCATGAGTGCTCTGGTCCCCTCTACATCCCTCCCCTACCCCCACATTTGGTGTGTCTGCATTTCTAGCGCGTGCTTACCTTGCCTCGCCTCGGCACCTAGATAAGATGGATTGTGGGATTCAGGCTGGAGTAGTCTAGCATTGTCCAAATAAGTTGCAGCAGCCCAGTCTGTAACTTTTGGCCCCCTCAGTTGATTACTCAGTTTCCCCAGCACAAGTCTATCATGCCTATAAGTCTTAGGGGCATGGATTAGTTGTTGCTGCTTCTGAAATTCCCTGTAGAGCAGTTTCTAAGTTGCCTTTTTCCCCTACAACATGTTTCCACCCATGGAACAGTTTTGCTATGTGCTGTTGTCTCAGGTCTCTCCCTTATCATGTGGAACGCCCTGTACACATCTGAGAAGGTCATCATCCGCTGGACCCTGCTGACAGAAGCCTGTTACTTTGGGGTGCAGTTCCTAGGTGAGTAGCTCTCCTGGGGGAGGAAGGAAGGGAGGAAGCAGAAGGAGGGAGGGAGGAAGCAGAAGGAATTGGCTAAGAGAGAGAATACCCCTTCCTCACACAAATACCTGGGAAGAGGGGAATGCTGGGAATGGCAGAGAAGCATAATTTGCACTGTTTGACTTTCTTGGGTGCCGGGCATGGGGAGAAGGAGATCCTGATCTTGGTTACACAGGTGGAAATCTCACTGAATTGGATGGCATTATCCAGACTTAATGTAGTGCAGCTGAGACCATAAGTGGGCCTCTGTTCAATGTGAGTGAAACTTACTTACCCAGTCAGAGGGCTGCTGAGAGAGGATAAAGTAGAGGAGGCAAAGTCATTAATATGACTGACCCATGTGAAGTGACCATCTCTGTAATACCCAGCCCTCCTGAGCACAGCAAGTGCTTCTCAAGTGATCATCCCCAAACCAAGCAGTAGGAAGGCATAAAGCACTACTAAGCTAGTGGGGTCCCTGACCAGCCCAGGAAAGGGTTAAATGCCCTAACCGGCCATTATTCAGGCCCTTTCTGCATGCCACTGTTTATTGTACCTACAACTTTCAGCAAACCCTCCCCTCCATCAAAGGCTATGTCTACACTCGTGGCTTCTTGCGCGAGTAATATGCAAATGAAGCTGTGTGGAATATCGCAGAGCCTCATTTGCATACCTAATGAGCCACCATTTTTTTCAGAAGAGGCTCTTGCGCAAGAAGGAGCGTCTACACTGCCCCTTCTTGCGCAAGAAAAACCCTCCTGTGCAATGCCGTTCTTCCTGAAAAATAATAGGTGTAAGAAGCTGCGAATGTAGACATAGCCAAAGAGTTAAATCTAAATCCAATAGCTTCCTTTCCCGTGACCCAGGGACTCCCTTGCCAGGGTCCCCATACTCCAGGATGTCAATAGACCATGCACCTGGGAATCAACCTGCTTCGTATAGCAGCCTCTCTCTCAGCCTTAGCAGACATCAGCTGTTTATCCTTCACCTAATACCTCCTCAGCTGGGTCTGATAATGCTCAGACAGCTGATCTTCAACAGGGTCTGCATCAGAATAGGCCTGGTTACTCTTAAGGCTGTTACAGACATGCCTGGAGTGGGAACAAAATAAATGATAGCACAAGGCAGTGGAGAATTAGGTCATGAATCTTGCATCCTCCTTTCTTTTCCCATTTTGTGTCCCCCCCCCCCCATTCCTTCTACATAGGGTGGAAATTATGTTGTTTGCATGCCTGTAGAATGCTTGATTGGTGCACTGAATCTATTTTGCCACTAACACCCTCTTTCCAACCCACTACTTACCCCTCTAAGTCTCCGTGTACTCCTTAGCAAACTGGAGCTGAGAGCTGCATTTAGGTCCCTAGATTCTGTGGCACTCTGGAAATTCTGTGGTATTACATTAAAACCAAGGATTTGTATTACATGAAATACAAAACTGAATAAACCATGTGGGACAACATGCTCTGATATTAAATTCAATATATTTTACACTATTCACACATGGTTTCCAATATGCCACAGTTTCTTGCATAGACAGCTCGCTTGCTTTGTAGTGTTGCCATTGGAGGGGAAGGAGGGGAAAATGGCTGGGTTTGGCAAGGGATAGCTTGTTGCCTGTAGGAGGACTTTATGTGTGTGAGAAACACATTTTATTAATGTTTTTGCTTTGAGAAAAATCAGCAATGAAACTAACAAACTTGCTACTTAAGCTGTCAGCTGTAGATTTCAGAATTATCACTGAGTAGGATATTTCAGGCTTCTCCCCTGAAGATAGAGCTTTCTTTTTCCTAAATGAAATTTTAAATTATGGAGCATTTCTCTAGGGCAAGGGATAAATGTCATGGCAAATTCTGTGGCTGTGAAATCACACGATACATAGACCCTGTCCATACCCTCTGGCTACGTCTACACTGGCATGATTTTGCGCAAATACTTTTAACGCAAGATTATTTGCAAGTATTTGCGCAAGGGAGTGTCTACACTGGCATGTGCTTTTGTGCAAGAGTGCCAGTGTAGACGCTCTCTTGTGTAAGAAAGCTCCGATGGCCATTTTAGCCATTGGGCTTTCTTGAGCAAGAAATTCATGTTGCCTGTCTACACTGGCCTCTTGCGCAAGAACACTTGCGCAAGAGGGCTTTTTCCTGAGCGGAAGCATCATTGTTCTTGCACAAGAATCACTGATTTCTTACATTAGAACATCAGTGTTCTTGCGCAAGAACTCCCTGCTAATGTAGACAGGTGGCAAGTTTTTGTGCAAAAGCACTTGCTTTTGTGCAAAATCTTGCCAATGTAGACTCAGCCTCTATGTAACTTATCCCAGTGTTGAATGTGGCCTTGGTATTCTAGTTCTTTTAAGAGTTATTGCCACTGTTGCTTAATGCCCTGGTGAATCATATACTGGAGTATTAATATTAGAAGTAGAAAGACAGATTGATGGGCAGAAATTGTGTGCCTGTCTTGTCATTTTCAGGTTGGTAAATTCTCTTAGTGGCAATTCTCAAAAGGGCATGGAGAGCTACACTGTATTTAAATATACTCTGATTCTATTATTTACCTGTGCCTTGTCTCCTTTCTTCTCCTTCAGTTACCACCATTACCCTTGTTGAGAGTGGGCGGATATCCACAGGTGCCATGCTCCTCCTCGCCAGCCGGATCCTCTTCATCCTTATCACCGTTTATTATTATTACCAAGTTGGACGGCGACCCAAGAAAGTCTAATCCCTGAGGCTTCCTGGGGAGAGGGTGGTGATGTTGCATTATTATTTTTTGTTGGTTCCTTCTGTTCTGAAACAATTCCCTTCTTTTCCACTTACCGGCATGAATCAGTGTATAAACCCAGCGCTGGCAGCATTGCCATCAGGATCAGGGGGAAGAGAGAACCCCTGCAGGTCCCCCTCCATCCTGTCTAGAGAAGGCAAGTGACTGCAGCGAGAAGGCTAACAAGATGTAAGAATCAGTCAGGCTCAGGGTCAATGGAGGAAACGGGCCAGTGGAATCCCAATCTCAGAAACCTTTTGAGCAAAGCACAAAATGATAGCAGCACATAGAAACAGACTCGGAGAACGGAAGCAAAGGCAGCTGGCAGATTCAACCCAGTCCCTGCAGGCTTGGAGCCTTTCATTTAGCCTATTGCTCACCCTCAGAGCTTTTCCCTCTTTAGTGAGGGAAATGTATTTGCGCAAGAGGGCCAGTGTAGACAGCTAAAAACTGTTTTGCGCAAAAAAGCCCTGATGGCGAAAATGGCGATCGGGGCTTTCTTGCGCAAAACCGCGTCTAGATTGGCACGGACGCTTTTCCGCAAAAAGTGCTTTTGCGCAAAAGCATCCGTGCCAATCTAGATGCTCTTTTCCACAAATGCTTTTAATGGAAAAACTTTTCCGTTAAAAGCATTCGCGGAAAATCATGCCAATCTAGATGCAGTCCCAATGTATTTATTCTGCTGAGAGATGCTTTAGAAATGCTGGCAGGAAACACAGGACTACAAAGAGCAAAAAAAGAGGGTAGAATCTTTATTCCCTGTCCCATCACAGAACAATCACAGTCTAGTGAAACTTAGCCAAGCTGCAGCCAAATCAAGTGGGGGCTCTCTTTGAGGGAGAAAGAGTACACTTGAGTTGCGTTATTAGAGAAATGTAAGAATCTGTTGAATAGTCTCTTAAGTGTGAGGAAGCCTTATTGTCTTGGAAGTTTCATAGATAGGTGGGGCTGCTGCATGTATTTTTATCCCCTTAACTCCCATTGCTGTAGCTCTCGGGATGGTAACAATAGTGAGCATCCTGGAATAGATCAGCTCATGACTCTAATTAGTGTCCCCTAACTAGGCTTAGATAAGGCCATGGTTAAAAATACTTCCCTTAAGTCCAGTCTGTGCTGGAGTGCCCATCTTTCCTACTGCTTTTAGAGCTACATTGCAAGTCACAATAGGGAGAAAAAATGCTGGTTTCAGTGAGGACAGCAAGGGGGTAAATCACTGTTCAATGAGTATCTGCATGAATTATACTCTAGTAAGGACAGAACTAGATGAGCCAGCTGGTCCTCTCCACTCCTACAGCACTGGTACCTGCTGGATTCAGTTGAAAAAAGGACCAAAGCCTGAGGTTTTATGTCTTCAGGATCCTATTTAGCTGGGCTAAAGAATGGCTGAGAAGGTAAAAGCACGGGGGCCTTCTTGCCTTCTCCAGACATGCCATTGCTCTCTGGCTGTTGCCTCCCTGTGTGCAGGAGACTGAGCAGGACTTAACCTTTATTCCATAGCATTGACACTTCTACTCAGAACCCTGAGGAACGTTGCCCTGCCCCACCCACCTTTCAGTACCAGGCAGCTTGTTTTCCACGGAATTGAAGCCAGAAGGCTTGGCGAGATGACATGGACTTTTTCATTCACCAACATGGGGAGCTGTTGGGTTGAACCAGTGTGTGCCCAGGAGTGGAGCTGATGGAGCATGTGCAAGCTCCTGGCTGTTGAGAAGCAGGACTGTCTGAACAACAGCGCTAAGGTGGCTTCTGAAGGACATTAGCTTTAAGCACCACGTAAGCATCAGCCAGGGGGAAAAAAACCCAAACCTCTGATTAAAGGTAACATGGACATTCAAGGAGCATTCAAGATAAAACCTGGTGCATCTTCACTACAGCTCTCCCCTGAAGCCTGTTTCTCTTACTGCTTCTGGCATTTACAAACAGCTGCATGACCTGGGGCTACCGTGTGCATTGACATGATGGGCCACGCAATGTCTGTGTCAAGTGGAATTGCTGAAACTACTGGAACTGATGCTAAATCTAATCATTTAAAAAAGGGTAGAAGCCAAGTGCAACAAGAAATTAAACTTGGGCCCCCAAGCTACTTGCTAAGGCTGCTGTTGAGCATTCTCCTCTAGCCTGGCCAGAAGATGACAGGATGTAGTTAAAATTCATCATGCTCCTCAGGACTGCTCTTTTAAGGGAACCTTTAACTGGGTGGCTCCTGGGTGTTTTTGGTTAATTTTATTTCACTAGGAAGAGGCAGGAAGGTTTAGGGAAAAGATCTGTCTTTGGGGTAGGGGTAGAGAAGTGCTGCCCCTGGTATACAGCAAACCAGCCAAAGTCATGTTGCTCTGCTAAGACACAGCATTGCCTAGCATAATCTGCTCTCTTTGTGACTCTCACTGGTGCACTAAATAAGGACAGCTGCAGCCACATGAAATCCAGTCGTTGTGGCTTTGAGTAAGATGGGGGGGACAATATCTAACCCCAAAGGCAAGGTACTCTAGGTGCAGCCTGACAGATGGACACAGGGAAAGAAATTATGGGGCTATAAGAAAGGTCAGTAAAGCTCACCACAGTGTTGGAGGTGAGGAGGAGTAGGCTCAACTTCTTATGTCTTCTCACTGGCCATAGGGGTGCGATTGCCCTCATTCAGTTATGCTATGTTGGAGGTGAGGAGGAGTAGGCTCAACTTCTTATAATGTCTTCTCACTGGCCATAGGGATGCGATTGCCCTCATTCAGTTATGCTGGTGTTGCAAAATATGCCTCACTGCTGGGCACAACTGTCAGAAGGTGGCACCATTGCATCAATCATGGCAGCGAACCATCCTACACACATTGCTCAGTGCTATTGCATTCTCATATAGATGGTGTCCGGGATTTCCAAAGGGATGTTAAAGTGCCTAACCTCCTCTGGAAGCTCCAGCCACCTCCCTGGCCCCTGCATGGACATATCAAGGTTTTTTTGCTGCTATTATTTCAAAGGTGTCAGCCACTCAAATAGTGACTCACTTCTGGTGTCTGTTGTCCTCTCTATCCCAAGGTATCTGGCGAGAGCAGAGCATTGGGGGGTGGCAGCTACTGCACATGAGGAGCAATTCAGTGCTCATCAGTGTAACGCCCTGCATTCAGAAAAGGACAGGAGACTGGAGCTTAAAACCAAGCTGCTCTGCAATGCCATTGCACTTAATCTTGGTTTGGGCAGCGTAGGTATGGCTACCCTGGAGCTGAAGGGTGTAAATGCCAGCTCAAAGACCCAGTTCCATCAGACCTAGCAGATAATACACAGCCACACATCATTTCAGCAAGTGGGACTAGCTGCCCTAAGTATAAGCCTAGCTGCCACTAATGGTATGTATGGGGGCTGGCTGCTGTAGCCACACCTCCAGTCTGAATACGTGCTCAGTCAAATCTCTCATTGAGCTACACTGGGGCTGTCTCAGAGTGCAATTTGCACCTTTCAGCTCTAATGCAGAACGAGACATGCCCTGTCCAAGAAGGAGTGTGTGCAATCCGCCCTGGCAATCACTAGTTACTGGCTGGCCAGGACACTCTACCATTTGGGATGAGCAATCGGCAAATGCCTGACCCCACCATAGCAAAAGGGATTTTCAAGCTCAGGACTGGAGCACTGTGGGGGCATATGTACACTAGGAAACTATTTTGAAATAACTAAATTTGAAATAACTCCCAAAACAACTATTTCAAAATCAGCGTCCTTCCCTAAGGAAAGCAGGAGTATGGATTTTGAAGTATGGATACTCTGCTTATTTCAAAATAAGGGGGGTTATTTTGAAATAAATCCCTAGTTAGACTAGGGATGTTACATTTCAATTAATGGACTAATCGACTAGTCGATACATTTTGCATAGACTATTTGACCAATTGATAAGGGTGCCTCCGCCTTTGAAATGTAGCAGCAGCCCTGCGGGAGGGGAGTTGGTGTTTGTGTGACCTTCTGCATAGCTAAGAAGTATTCTGAGTTCCCAGCAGAGATGCCTGCATTTGCATGACCTGGGTAGTTTTCTGCAAATTAATTTTGTGCCTGGTTCCTGGGTCTGCAACGGATGTACAATGGTTTCATACAATTGGATTAATACAGCCCTAAACGTATAGTGAGAGAAGATAGCCATTCAACTCCCAGTTTAGCCCCTTCTGATCTCAAGCAGGCTAGTACTGGCACTGGAGAGGAGAAAGATTCTAGTCCTACCGCCAAACCTTCAGCCAGCCGGCCTTGTCCGTCTCTTAGGTTGTTTTGGATTCAGTTTATACCTCATCTTAGCTGAGTTTATTCCTCCTTTGGTGAGAAAGTGACTGTACTTTACAAAAAAACAACCACCATGTGAATAGTGAAAATTAAAGCTGTCCCACTGCACTGTCACAATATCTTTATTTTTATTTTTTTTAAGAAATGCGCACAAACTGCAGAATGCTTCAGGCGCGTGTTCTGGTTTATATTACAAAAAATCATTTCAATATAAAAAGCATTACAAGAGGCAATACAGGATAAATTAGCTTCACTATCTAATAAAAGGAACATTTACGATTTTCAAAATAGATTTCAACGTTCTTTCACACGCAGGCTACTTCCCAGGCACTCGCAACAGTAATTTAAGAGTTAAATAACAGATTGGACTTACAGAAACAAACTGCTCTAGATAATTACATGAAAGGTGCATGGGGACAAACACTCTGGTGACTTCACTTAGATCAGTTTCCTACACAAGAACTCTCAATTGAGGAGTGATTATACCTCAACATCAGCTAAGCAGAAACTAAAGGGAGAAAAACGTTGGGTCCTCCTGCTTAGGAGCTCTGGAAAGAACAAGACTCAGAATTGTTGATTTTACAGCATGAGACCACAGACAAAGGCAGTGACACATCATGTTGGTCAAAAAATAAAACTTGCATGTCTCACAGTAACAAAGGATTTCCTCATCCTGGAGACTCCTGTTCCTTAAAATTCCATGGAGGAAATTCCTCCCCTCTCCTCTTGACTCAGTTCCCAGCATTTCAGATGATGCAAGATGGTTGGAAGCTGCATGAAGGATTTGTGTATCTGTTAACAGCCACCTCCATTTCTTATTGGAGGGGGCTGCTTTTCTGGTTGCTTGAGTGTGTCTCAGGGTAAGATGAGAATTCAAAATGATCTTAAACTGGAGAAATGGTCTGAATTAAATACAATGAAATTCAATTAGGTAAAATGCAAAGCACTACACTTGGGAAGGATTAATCAATTGCACAATTACAAAATGGGAAGTGACTGTCTAAGGAAGGAGTGTTGCAGAAAAGGACCTGAGGGTTGTAGAGGACCACTAACTAAATAAGCCAACAATGTAATGCTGTTGTAAAACAAACCCCAAACATCAGTCTGGGATGTTTTAGCAAGAGTGTTGAAGCCAAACATGAGACGTAATCCTTACGATCTATTCTGCACTGCTAAGGCCTCTTCTGAAGTACTGTGTCCATTTTTGGGCACCACACTTCAGTAAATGAGGACACATTGGAGAAAGTCCAGAGGAGAGCAACACAAAAATAATTAGAGCTTTAGAAAACAAGACCTAGAAATAAAAATGGGAAAATGGCTCTTGTTTAATCTGAAGAAGAAGAGACGTATGGCACAGGGGACGAGAAAAAATAATAGTCTTCAAGCAGAGCCGTCCCATCCATAGGATAGATCAGGGTGACTGCCCCAGGCCCCGTGGTGGCCGCCCCAATCGTCAGCAGCCTGCTCCATTCTGCCGTCCAGCACCACTGTGATCGGCTTCTCCACGGTGTTGGGGACCAGAACACCCTGCCCCCAGGAAACTCTGTTTCCTGCTGCTGCAGAGAAGTGGGTCACAGCAGACCAGGAGAGGGTAGCGGGGCAGGGTGGAGCAGACTGCCAGGCCACTCAGGCTTCTGTCACCTGCATTTCTTGGGCGAGATAGCAAGGGGATGGAGCACAGGAGAAACTTGAGGAGAGGTGCTCTGGGTCCTGTGCCTGGGACACGGGGAGGGGTTGCCCCAGGCTCTGCACCCCTCTCAGGATGGCTCTGTCTTCAAGTATGTAAAAAGGTGTTAAGAGGATAATGAAAAATAGTCTCCTTATCCACTGAGGATAGGACAAGCCGCTATGGGCTTAAAATACACTGAGGGAGATTTAGGTGAGACAGTAGGGAAAAAAATCCTGTCAGGCTAGTTAAGAGCTGGAACAAATTATCTAGGGAGGCTGCGGAATCTCCATCACTGGAGATGTTTAAGAACAGGTTAGACAAACCTGTCAGGGATGGTTTAGATAATACTTGGCCCTTGCACTCCTGGAAGGATCTCAAGGTCCCTTCCAGTCCTACACTCCTATGTTCATAGCCATTTAAAGGGAGAATATGAAGGTTTCAGCTAGACTATAAGACCACCATACAGGGTCAGACCACAGGTGCATCTAGCCCAGTATCTCATCTGACAGTGGCCAATGCCAGGTGCTTCAGAAATAATGAACAAAATAAGTATCAAGTGATCCATCCTCTGTCCCCCAAGCAGAGAAAGGGAGGAGATGACAACTGTATAACGGGCAGGGAGGACTGAAAAAGGGAAACAAAGGAGAAGAGATAAGAGAGGAGACTATGGAAAAAAGGAAAGCTGTTTTCTGTGAGAAAAGGGGACACAGGAGAAAGATTAGAGAATAAATGAGAAAAGGAGAGGAAGGAGAGAGAATAGCTATTACAGAGAAAAAAGAATTAAGGGAATTAAAAAAGGTAGATAAAAGAAAGTGATAAATAGGAAAACCAAAGGGGAATAAGCCTGGAAAGGCAGCAGTTAGAGTTTGCTATTGTAATTATCCCTGTTCTTCATTGCACTGTGCACATGCTGGCAGAGTCCCCTCTGAGAGGAAAAGGCAAACCTTTCACAATAGAGCAAGACATAAAGGGGATTGAAGGGAGGACTCAGCAAAGAAGATGGTTTGCTCCTCCAGACACCAAGAATTGCTGCCACATGTCAGGTGTCCAACCAGAGATACAGACACCAACTGACAAGAGCAAACACTCTACTGTCTATGGTCTTTTGGAGGTTAGCAACCCAGGGCCTATTGCCAGCTACAGTCTGGCTATTGTAAGTTGAGTAATATGTGGTGGTTGTGGCTACTACTTATTGCACCCTGCCTCCACAATTAACAAGGTTATTTTAGTTTCTTCTTCTCCTTTGGGATTCAGTTCTCTCTCCAATGTGGACAATTACTATCTGTTGGAGCAGGGTCATGGCCTTTTCAAGCTAGGAGGCTACATTAAAATTACTTCACTTGGTTCTGCTCTTTTCTGTCCCTTGGGACAAGCTAAAGGGAAACGGTCAGATCAGAAATGATACCACATGATGCACAAAGAGAGACAACTGCAAGGGGGGTCCCTTTGCTACCAGTACGTGTTTGGGAATTTCCAACTGGAAGGCACGTTGGAACCCAATGTAGATAAGTAAGCTAACAGAGCATGACAAACTACAATGTTGCACACAGGAGTTGAGTATCCAAGATCTGGGAGACAAAACAACATGCCCTTTGCCCTGAGGCTGGCAGCATCAGTTATTTTTGACCAGACCATAAAACACTGTACAGAAAGCCAAAGGGACAGAGTAAGGAAGGAAAGGTATGCACCAAACATCTGATTGCATCTCAGCCCTGTCCTAACCAACCCCTCTTAGAGGAGGATCTTCCTCTGCATCTCAGCCCTGTCCTAACCAACCCCTCTTAGAGGAGGATCTTCCTCATTTTCAACAGGGTCACCCTCTAGTGGGACTCCAAGGAAAGGCATGCCCTAGTCCCAGTAATCCAGGGAGTCTTCTGAGGGGGGTAAGTGAGGGTAGGTGACCCTCCTCTTCTGAATATGTGTTTCCATTTCCTGGCAAGCAGTTAACACTTTAGACCAGAAATGGAAATAAGTAAACAATGGCTGCCACAGTTTTCTAGGTATCAAAAGCCCTTTTTGTCTGGTCGTTTGAAACCTGCCTGACCCTTACACCTCCTTGCTGTGGTTGACCTGCTTCCTTCTGAGCACTGAATCCAGCCCCTGTGTTGCGTTATACAGTTCTCTTTCTTCAACAGCCAAACCAATACAATTGAGAATATGCTGGCAACCTCCTGTTCTGAGAGAGACCATTTCAGCTGCCATTCCTCCCACCCACCCTGCAGGCTCCGTCAGTCTCTAGTGCAATCGGTTGCACATTGCACCTAATCAACGTCTGTGCCAGTTGCTCTGGGAGAAGGTCGGTGTGGCGTGGCGTAGTGCGCGGCACCTCAAAGTTCCAGCCCCTGAAGTACAATCCTTTTGGTCATTCATATATTACAACCATTTTTTTGTTTCTATTTTGTTACAAAAAATAAAGAGTTTTCCCCCTCTTTTTTTTCGGTCTTTCCTCCAAGCACGTAGGAGCATGTCGGTTGCTCAGGGGGCACGGCCTACTGGATCCCTCGAAAGAGACACATTGCAAAGATCATGGCGAACAGCTGGAAAGGGACGAGAAAGAGGAGAACACACAAAACACAGCTATCAGCCACATCTTGTAGAACAATGAAAAATGCTTACTGAGGCCTAGCGATGGCGCTGCCCCGACTTCATATAGGCTGAAGGAGGAGGGGGAGCTCTCGCAAGCCAGGGAGAAAGAAAAGCTAAGGCTTTGCTTATCCCAGCAGAGGCAGAGCTGCACACCTCTGCCCTCTTCCCAGTACTTGAAAGCCTCTTCTCACCCACTATTGGCAAATGCACCCCAGGGAACAATGGCTACTCTAGCCACCTGGGCTCTCTGCAAAGTGTCTTCAAATGTTCTGTCTCTAGTATTCACTACCCACTCTGCCCCCCCTCCCTCGCCTACTCCCATTGTTGCAGTGCAGTTCACTCTCCAGCCAGGCGCTGGAGTGCTCTGCTGTTCCCAGTAGCTGTTGTTCCCTGTAGCAGGAAAGCAAACTGCCTCATTCCCCTTTAGAGATGGAAGCGCAACCACCTCATTTATAGTGTTAGTGTGCCAAGCAACCACATGCCAGATCCCCCGTCACGGTCACAAATTAGCACCACTTTCAAGTAGGGGAGATTTTCTGATAGAACCCTGTTTCTGCTTCTGTCTAGCTCAAAGACAGGTGCTTTCTGATAATTATTTCCTTTAGTTTCCTTAAAGACCCAGCCCCTGGATGGTTTCAGCCTTCATTCTAAATGAAAAAAGTGTCTAGTTCTTGTGGCTATGAAGAAAGTTTCAAAATGTGACTCCAGTGTACCCCAAAGGCTCAAAAAGCAGAAGGCAAAAAGAAGACCAAATCTATTATTTGTACAGAATCTCATGATTTTAAAACCAATCTCATCTGGGGTGGCTAATGTTGTATATCAAAGGTCTGAAACTCACAGCCCTCAAGCCATCTACAGTTGGAATATTTTTACAATCCAGCTCGGGAGTCCAGACAGCCTGCTGGGGTGTGTCCATATCCGTCTCGCAGGCCTTGTCCCTTCCTGCCACTGACCCACCCTCTCTCCCTCATTGTATCCCATCCCCCAAAGGATGCAGCCTTGGGGATTACTGGGAGAGGGGGCCTAATGCACAGAGGCAGCAGCAGTCATGGCCCTGGGGAAGCAGAATGCACTAGGATTACCAAAATGCTTTGATCATAGATGGCCCTCAGGCTGTGAGTTTGAGACCCTTGCTGTATATGTTCATAATCTCAGGCCACTATTCTTCCAGACTCTTAAGTAACTGCCCCTTAAAAAGGCTCAGATTGAAATGTATTAATCAAAATGTGCTCCTAGGTAGCCTCTGGGACCATGTGGTTGTGTTACTATTATCCTTTCCTCTGATGGTCTGTGGCATTCCCTCATTCCATCTGGTTTTAAGCACTATGGGGCAAGGACCTCTCTTTTATACATCTGTGCTGCACAAACACACAACAAAGCAGGGCCTTTACAATCTTTGCTTCTGACAGGCCTGTCCTTTTATACCAGGCTAACACCAGATGGCAGTGCAGGCTTAGTGGATGAGGGATTTCTCTGCCCTGCATGCAGACAGACAGAAAAACCAGCCCTTCCTTTCTAAGTTACTCTGAACTATAGTCTGCATTTTGCCAGGGAAGGGTCCTGTTGAAAGGCGAATGTGCAGCTCCTGTTCCTGCTTTTGGCTGCACTTGCATAGACACTGCATTTTTAACACACTAATTGCTCTAGTACCTCAATGGCCAAAACGCCAATGGCGAGAGCTCCTGCAAGGTACACGTAGGTCTCGAAGGAGTTCAGAATCACAGTGTAACAGCCCTAGGAAAGAATAAACCATTGTGAAAACAGCAAAGCAGCATTTTTTTTGTTCTACAGACATTTGCTTACAGCCCGTGTTTGCGTACCTGATGCCTGCCAGACCCAGAAACCAAATACATGGCCTCCAATCAACAGCCAGTGAGTTACAGAGACCCACTCCATGTGGCCTTTAGCAAGCACAGCCCCTGGAGGCAGAGGCTGTATTTGATGGGAGATGGGCTTGGGTAACAGAGCCATAACCCATCACTCCCCAGCATGGGCCATACTCTTCAGCAAGGCAGACAAGACCAACACTGGAGAAACCTTCACTCTTCCAGATGGTACATGACAGGCAGCTCCCACTATTTATGCTGGTTTGGTTGAGGCTTCATTTTAAAGCTGGGGTTGGAAGGAAAGGACTATGAGTCAAGGTTCTTCTGAGTTTAGGCAATAATTCGCTAGGCCTCCTAGAGCCTGCCTCTTAGATTCACCATCTGTAACATGGTGTCAAATCATACCTACCTAGCCATCTCTTGAGAGATTTGATGCTTGTAAGAGCTTTGAGATCATTGCACAAAAGGGAAGAGTGAAGTGCAAAGTAAATCTCATCATCCTTCAAGGTTTGTTGTTGTTGTTGTTATTCATAGTAAAGTATCAATAATACAGGACACATCTGTAAAAGCTCCAGTAGAGAGAAGAGCTGTGTGAACTTTTCTGGGAGGCCCCAGCTTTATCCCTGTCCCAGTTGTGCTAGCCCACAAAATCTTCCAACAAACTGGCAAATTTCTGCAAATGGGATGGGTGAAAAGAAATATGTACAACAGTCTGTTTCCCAAAAACATGCACACCACCTATTGAATGTTACCCTGAGACACATACACAAATGTATATTCGTATGTGCACTCTCCCATGGACACATACCATCTCGCATCTATGCCCCAAGACCCCTTGAAATGGCCCCTGCTGCACTGTAGGTTCCGCATGCTAAGAAAGACCCCCAACACAAACTAGGCCAGCATCTTCCTAGAACTTGACTCTGGTCCAGGAATGTTTGAGCTCAAACAATACTTAAAGAACTTCCTTCCTTCTTCACTGGTTAGAACTATTTTTGACAGTTGTCAGGTACTCTTAATCCAGTAAATATATTGTAATAACACAGAGTAACAAAAATCTCCCTTGCCAAAGGATTGAGATGGGAACGTATGAACTAGATATTTGGGAGGTGAATGATTAACTATTAAGCATCACCCTTACCAGGTGACGCTTACCAGTTATGGTTAACTGGCAGCCCAGGTGGGCAGGGGGCTGCTCCAGCCTGGACAAGCCTGTGATGTGGTATGGCAGGCCCAGTGTGGCGCATAGGCTGGGGTGCTCCATGCCAGCCAGAGCAGCTTCTGGCTGCAGCAGCCCCTACCCA